TGCTCCGATAGTCATGTTTGGAACTGTACAGCTGTGAGATTCAAACCTATCTGCTTTACTCTATTGCATTTTTTATAGCAGTTCATTTTCTAGGAAAACTATCCGTTGGCTACGATTCCATCTCTCATACTGAACACAACAATGCAGGTTTGGGATTTGTCGTATCGGAATATCTCGCAGATGAGGATGGCTACTCGATGGACTGCAAATGAAAGCGACACAGCTCCCGTGTAATTTACCTTAATTTTTAAGGACTCATTCTCTGAGATTTCGATATTAAAAACTTAATAAAAACAAACAAAGATTCAGAAATCTAACTAATCAGGTATTCTGTATCACCCAATCGCCTTGCCCTTAATTTTTATATTTTTGCTGAAAACAAGTCAAACCTTTGTATCAGTATCACTTCATTTCAGACTTGGCGGCTTTTCCCTTGGCCACACCAGTCTTCGAGCGCGGACTCCCAACGAAGTTCAGGCGGAGATTTTAGGGTGGAATATCCTCCTCAAAGGTTGAAATAATCTACCTCTTACTGTCACCATAGCAGAAATTTCTTATATTTGCTGGAATATAGCGCTATCGTGTTTTTACTCAAATATCTTTAGGATTAAATGAATCAGCAGCGGATCTTAACATTAGCATGTCGAAGTCGGAAGCGCCGCAGATTTACGATCCATTCCTAAAGAACATGACTATGACTGATTTCGTTGCTGCAGTATTAGGATCTATGGAAACGCAACATAATGTGAAGGTAACCACATGAGTTAATGGAAATAGACCTATAAAATAGAGGGATATGTTATTGAATTTGGCATATATAGGGCTAAATTCGTTCTTTTCTTATCTTATACCTCAAAAAACACAAAAGCTCAGAATGGGCATGTTTATGTCCTATTTTAGCTCAATGAAACTAATTTTCATCCAGCTATGCATTCACATTCTGAAAAAGCAGAAATTTTAGGATTTTGAAGAAATGTGTTGAAGCGAATAAGGATGTGCAAATGTTTCGGTTTTTTGATTGATTCTTAGATGCTGAGTTTTTCAAGACTCAAGCACCGAGTTTTGCTCTCCTGGAAATCATCTTTTTCCTTTTATTGTGCACTTTCGCACTGGCAGTGTTCTAAGCAGTTTGGCAAAAACTTTTTGCACAAAGTTGTCTTCAGATCTTCGCGTGATTGGCCGCTTAATACATTTACAAACTTTATCAATACTTTCTTTATAGTTAAAAATCAATTAATTGAGCAGCTTTCCTTTATTTGATATCGCCAAGTTTCTTTCCAGACGTGGTTCAATAACAAGCTCTACACAAC